CAATTGAAATCCCGTTAGTTTATGAGGAAATCGACGATAAATAAGAATAGGTATTTTAAATTGGTAGGCAATTTGATTAAGGTAGATAATATTAACGTGTAAACGTCATTGAGAAACTAATATGGGTACCAGTGTCAAAATGCATTATTGCGATACTCGAGTACACTTACACACTTAATATATTATTATGAGTTGAAATATGTTTCGGTTTTTTTTTTTTTCATGTTTATCTAAACATTCCATATTGAATATTGACTTAATTAATTATATTAATATGCAAAACGAAACGAATAAAGTAGAAGTACCAAATACCTACCAGGCAATTTATATTGCGGTCAGCTAGTCAACATCGTGTTTGTGAATTTTAATGCAAGTTTTACTTAGATAAGTGCTCTTATTTTTTCAAATAAAAAGTAAAGAACGAATAAAGAACTTTAAACATTTTAATAATTAGCTTTTTATTTAATTTTTAGTACCTACTTATGATATAATAATACTATAATATAATATAGGTATAGGTAAATTATTAGACCCTGTGTTAGGCAATACGTATAATCGCGATAGCTAATAAGGAAATCTGCGATAAATTAAAACCATTATCGTTTTGTTAGTAATTTAATTCGAATAGGGCATTATCAATGTATAAGTGTCATTTTGGAACTATAATAGATACCGACTTTTTTTCGTTCTAACCCTTTTAAATGTGGGTAAATTACTGAATTTCGACACTGATAGGTATCTATTTTAAAATGTAATATCGCGATGTACGTGTACACTACACCATCAATGTTATTATTCGTTGAAATTTCCTCAGGCTTTGTTTATCCTAATTAAAATTCAATTCTTCCGTAACATACATCGATCGTATTAATGAATCATAATCGATTATGCAACGCAAATAGTGTACAAATAGGTACCTACCGGATAATTTTTTTATTGCCGTCGTCCCGTCGACGTCTCAAATAGAAAATATAGAACTTCCAAACACTTTTAAAAATAAAATTATTTTACACAATTGATTTCGACTAGTCTGATAATATGGCAATAGATTTATTTTATTATTACGCTACGAAATTAATAACTCATATTATATTTTTATTTATCCAATGATGAAAACGATGGGAAAAAAAGGGGGGGGGGCCAATAACTATAGTCTACGGCCGGCAGAAACGCGGTGGCCGACCCAAGACATGGGACCCTGGTCGCAAAGTACCTATATCAATGCAATACCACGTATGGAACATACACGGTTACCACACGGTCTCTAGTTAACCTAACCACAATTTGTGGTAACAAATTCAATTTTTCAATTCATTTTATTTTCGGACATAAATCTACTTTCAGAGTTAAGTATTTATGAACTGATTGATTATAAGAATTATTTGTGAATTTTTGTATAAGATTTACTTGTGTGGGCACTCATATTTTTTTAAAAAAAAAATTAAGATCGTTAAAGATTATATTTACTTTAAACATTTCAATAATTTCCTTTTAATTGAATTTTTAGTACCTACATATAATTTAATAACGTGATAATATAATATATATAGGTAACCTAACCTATAGGTAAATTTATAACTACTGTAAAGTATTTATAACACGAATTAAGATATATTAAGGTATATCTTCATTCGTGATTTATTAGCATACAATTTATTATTTTTCACTTTATCAGTTTTACATAAATACATGTACGGAAAGTCATTTAATTTCTCAATAATGACTCAGTTCACAGTGGAGCCTGTACCAGACTACTGATTCAATAAATAAAACAATACCTAACCAAATAATAATCACTTGGCAAAAAAGATGAGAAATAATCGTACAAAATCCAACAAGTTTGATTTCACATATTATAAAATAATACAGAGTTCTATCACAAAATATTTGTAAGTAAATAATTATGTGTTATTCAAGGCCTGTAATTGTGTAGTACCTAAATATTTAGTATTTGTATTTATTTTTATAAACAAATGTGAGTTGTTTTTTTTTTTTTTTAGTTTTATAATATTTCTTGATAATTAGCATCCGTCACGTTTGTAGTTAATGGCTTAGTTGATTCAGTTGACTTGATAAAATTTACTCAACAAATAAAATTGAAATTGATGAATTCATTAATGAAAACTTAAAAAATATTGAAGATAATGTTGTTGTTTATTTCTTACAGCAATGACTATTTTTAATACTTTTACTAGGGCACTATAGAATTGAAGATATTATTTCAATTTAATTTAATTTAAATATCTTTTAAACAAAGGTTAATTAATTTGTATAGATTATAAACTTGTAATAATAATATATAATGACTATTAACAGTTAAGTATAATCAAATTAGTCAAAATAATTAAAACCGCAGAAAAACAGAAAAATTTGTTGAATAAATTTAAAATTTAAAGAATTTTAATTGCAAATATATATATTTATTTATTTTAGCTCCTGTTGGTGGTGACACCCCTCATATATTTCAAACCAAGGAATGTGATAATAATCATTCAAGAAGATGATGGTAAGAATTTTAATCTTTTAATTTTTAATATCATTTTTATAAATATGATACATTATTTTACATTTGATGTATTTTTTTTATATTTAATTATATAAACTTAGATAATTACTCCTAGAGTTAAAACATGTAATTAATAATTTATTTTCAAAAAAAGTATCATTATGTTTTTGACATACTTCAAATTAGCACAGTTATATAACATTTATTTTCACAGCTATAGATCTTAAAACAATTATAAAGTACTTGATGTATTTAAAATGTGAAGTGAGTAAAATTTATGATACCTAACAAGAAATTATTGAAATACTTATGTGTCTATGATGTATATTTATTTTATTATTTTTCATTTAAATAAGTGTGTCATAAATTTTGTTACACATACTGTTAGAAAGTCCATACAGAATGAGTAAATCATTTTAGAATTTTTATGAACTACCCTCAGAATCGTTTTTAATTAACAATTGCTTATCGTTTCTTTCAGATATAAATTAAAAAATGTATAACTTATCCTTTCTATCATCTACAACAGTGATGCATTCATCAGTAGCTCTTTCTTTTTTCCTTGTAGTCACTAATCACTATATCCTGCGGGTGGCAAATACTATGTGCCACTGTTGTTGCCAACAACCGATATCATAGGACCCTGGTAGCAGAGTACCTATCTACTGCAATGTAACGTACAAAAACGTATGAACGTACTACCTGTAATATCTATACACAAAATCCTATACAAATATTCATAATCAAGTCTTACATGTTGCTTATATGCAAATAATTTTTTTGATTGAGATACAATTTATGTGACAAAAAATAATACTACTACTTTGCCATTGCTACAACTATGAGTGGCTCCTAACTTGCACCTTACTTATTAGTTATAATAACACTATATATAACACTTATGTGTTTTAGCATACACTTTCATAATATGTTTGTCCTTTTAGTCATTACAAAATTAAAAGATACAGTGGCGCAACTACCGAGGGAGTTGGGATTATCAATCACTGGGGCCCACAGACTGCAGGGGTCCTAGTCTAATAACTAAATAAGGCTACTAAGTAGGTACTAAAACATTAGTAACAATAATATATAATATAATGGACATATAATAATGTAGAAATATACTAGTATATTGTATATTATCTATTTATTTACTATCTGGGATCGGCAGTTTTGATGACTTATTTGTTATCGAAATATTATTCTATAGGTATAAAATAGCGTACAGACACACAATGTATTACTATGGCCAATAGGTCCATAGCAACTATGTTATTGTATTTACTAGGCATGTATCAGTATTGACTAAAAATAAAATAGAAAATACAGTATAGTAATAACATTTTAGCCATAGAACAGAATAATGATAATTAATAATAGTTATTTTAGCTAAAATAGATCATTGAAAGTGTTTTGTTTTCGTACATTTTTTGACGATTAGTAGAAGAGTCTCAATACTCAATAAAATAGCTGGTAATAAAAGATATGTGAATGGGTTTCAAAAAAGGAAAGAAATTCAAGAACAGGTGTCAAAACTGCTGAGAACTGATAATTTGTTTTTTAACAATCACAATCCCAGCTACTATCTCTAGAATAGGTAATTGGAAATAAAATAATTATATACAATATTGATGATATCTAAAAAGAAATTGCTTAACACCTAAATGTAGTCTGTAGTATGATACGTTTAAGCATATTGTTAATAATCACATTTCATGTTTTTAATAACGAATCAAAATGTATACAATTCCAATATTTATAATCAAAATAAATAACAATGTCGCTACAATTAAACTTATGGAGTCTATCATCAATGATATTTAAATTGAAAGTTTTATTTTAGTCAATTGTAGATTTAAAATAAATTAGGTAGGTGTTAAATTTTATTACTGAACTTAAAATAAAAAATGTTAATATCTGTTGAACATAGTGTACGGTTCGCCTATTGCAATTAAATATACCTATTTACTATGTATAATATAGATGTATCTCAAGAAAGTCAAGATTCAGAATTAAGTTTATCTAAATCAAGTGATCATGGTGGATTATTCCTGTCACCTGAACTTCAAATTGATAATATACACAAATAAAAAATATTGTTTATTTAAAATAATATAATTGTGTAGTCAATGTTAAATGTCAGGTATGTTGTATTTATACAATTCAAGTAGAAATATTAAATGTCTAAATGTTTTGTCATATTCATATATTCAGATTTTAATATACACAATGAATATCCAACTGACAGAATTTATTTTGAAGAAAATATCAAGAACAATCAAATTAAAAAATTTATTTTAACATATAAACCTTGTAAACCAGATACAGTATTTCCAATAATAATGGAAGATGGCAAACCTCTTAATTTTTAAAATCAAATATGATCCAGAACAGTTTGATTATGAAGGTACATTACAAGTTACTTATACAATATTAATACATGTTGATGTTTTTCAGGTAGCGTTATGCTCTCAGTAAGATTTTTGGCTGATTATGAATGAAATATAAAAATATGAACGAAGAAAATAAAATATTCTAGATGTAAGATTCAAAATGAGTTGGTTGACCTTCTTGCTACGAGTACTTAAAACTTTCTATGCAAAAAAATAAGTCATACACAATATTTCTCTATTATTATAGATTTGACCCAAGATATTACTAAACTTGGTCAAGTGAATATAATGATAAGATATGTGGTAGTAAATTATAATGAATTAAATATAAGGGTTAAGGAATTATTATTGGGATTCTTTGTCATTAAAAAACACGGAGCACAAGATTATGAAGAATTGATTACCAATATATTATTAAAACTTAATATAGATACAGTGAATGCCACTTATAAGACTCACTTTGGGACTAGCATTAAGTGAGTCTTATAACCGAATGAACCGCATAATCTAAGTGGAGAAAGGATAGAGTGTATTTGGATAAGTCCGGACTGTACCAACTGATTTTGAGTCTAATAAGCGACTGAACCTTATATCCGTGAGTTTTATAAGCGACATCCACTGTATCAATAAATGCAGAGGACATGGGTATGGGGCTTCTGCCATGAGTGGCGTATATTTTAGGGTACAAAAACGAATTAAAGACAAAGCACCTACAGCTTTTTATGTTCACTGTTGTACCTATAATTTGAATTTAGTCATATCAGATGCAGCTAAATGTTCTCCAAAAAATATAATTATTTTTTGAAAAATTCAAGCTCTTTTCAATTTCTTTAGTGTCAGTGTTTGTTCCAAGGTGGGTTTGTTTAGCATTTGATGATGATGCATGAAGTTGAGATTTATAGATGTTTTGAAAGTATTAATTAATATATCTTTAACCTGTACTAAAAAAGATCTATAGTTTTAAATAATATATAATTTTTGTCATCCAACGAGCACGATGGTAGGCCCCTGGAGTGAGTATTTTTATTGTTTTTTCAGTTGTTTCCCCCAAGAATATTAATGATAAATTTAGCATTCTTTGTAATCATAACGTGCATGGTAATTATTCAACTGACATTTAATAAACGCAATGATATTGATGCGTACTAGCATAAAAGAATGGCAATTTTTGAATCATGCATTGCACTTTGATAACTACTTTGAAACACTGCGATTAATGCTCTTGGAAAAGTTGAAGTTTGAATGGTAGTGAATGATTTGGCAGAATGGGGTCGTCAAACTGATTAATGATTTCAACCCTGTTCTGACTAAACGAGAAGAACAAAAACAATATTTACTGCAAATTAAAGAAATGCAACGCGGGGAAATACTGCAAGCGAATATATGTATAATAAAATAACAACTTTTCGATATTTAGGTTAATGAAAAATAAAAAATACTGTATTTTTTTTCTATTGTCAAGTTTTAATATTTTTTTTGTTTGTATATTATGTATTATTCGATTTTTGATAAATTTAATTAAGACTATATTGAAATATTTTCGACAAATAAAAAACTTTTTCAAGGGTAGTTCTAGCTGATGATTTACCTACATTATATTATCATTTGCATTTCATGACTAATAACTTTGTCAATATTGATTTTTTTTTCATCAACTTATAGCATAGTCTATTATTAGCTTAAAATAGAATGGGCTACCTTGGTAACATTAACATGAATGCAAAAAAATTCAAAAAACTTTGCGCTGTAACTAAGTGAAAACATATAAAACGTTATTTTTGAATCTTTGTATTTTTTAGTACAGTAACAACAAACAACACTACAGTATACTATGTCTTCATAATTTTAGCGTTATAATAATGGATACTTAGTTTGAGCCCTGTGCTGTGCAGACATTTATGGTAACATTAGGTTATTTTAGGTTAGGATGTTGTTAAATACATAACTAGTGCTAGAGGCAGAATTGAACAACACGCTACAACTCATACCTACTAAGTTGTAAACAAATTTTTAATATATGTGGTCTTGACATTTTATAAAAACTTAAACTAATTAAATAATTTTGTGATTGTATTTAGGTATTCCCTTTTAACAATAAAGAGTCGAATAAAAACCGTTGTTTGGCCTAATAAGGCACCTGTGTATGTAATATCTATAATAATAATTAAATATAAAATAGTAATTTATATAGATGATTATTAAGATATAATACAAACAATTTCAAGTATTAAAGTTTATACAAATATAACAATTACAAATTATGTTACTTCAAAGGTTTGATTTCAATCATTATTATTATCTTTATAGTAAGATGATATTGAAAAGTACTTTTTTGTATACACATAATATATTGATAAATGATACCACCAATTATATTATTATAATAAGATTATTTAAATTAAGTATACAAGTTTATTTAGTTTTAAATATAGTTTTTATATGTATGAACAAATAAATTTTATTATGATGTTATGTTGATACTTATTTTCTTATATATATAAATAAAAGACAATGGTACTTACAGTAGTTTACGTGTGATGAACTCTGAAACTACTCAACTGGATTTTGATGAGCCAAGATAGAAATGATAGAATAGTCTTCATCTCGATTAATGACAACAATATTGTTTTATTGCAAATTAAGCTCATGTTTACTATTTGATTATTAAAATGTTCAAACGGCCATAGAGTAAGTTTTATAAGTTTCTCACTGATCTTATTGTAAGTTATGCTGGGCACCACGCCACACAAAAAGAGATAGTGCGGCTTTAATACATTAAAAATGAAATCTTGTGCTTAAATTCAACTCTCTGAAACTCTTTGCCTAACATTTCAAAGTTTAACGTAACGTTCTATTTGCAATGCCAAATTAGACCAAAAAAAATTAAATCTATTATAAACAAAAAGTAAAATAATATACAAGGCACTAGTGAAATCATACCATGTCCTGGGACCCTGGTTGCAAAGTACCTATGTCTACCTAATAGCACGTGTGTAACAAAGAAGATAAATTAATATCATTAATATTATTATTTATTTATTATTTATTCATTTACACTATCAAAGCATTACCGGGTCACCTAGTATTTAAATAAAATATAAAACCAAACTGTAAAAAAAAAAATAACAAAGATATAGGCATTAGGTATAGGTCACGAATTAAGTTAAATTAATGATAAAATAAGTAGGTATATCTTAATAAGTAGTATTTTAATATGGTTACCTGTCTTATGGATGTGTGAGAGATGATTAAATAAGATATTAATTTGATGTAAAACACGAAATTAAAAATATATTTGGTTGATATTATGTGAGGTTTTTTGTAATCCATACGATATAGAAATATATTCACAATCTGATTAATGTATACAAACTAGATATTTATTTTCTGATAGTTGTCAGGTAAACAAATTCGGTTTATAACACATTTGTATAATGTTCAGCTCGTAGTTTTTATTCGGTAGGTACAATGTGGATATAATTATTGTTGATTGTACAGAAACATTTCAACATTTACATGAAGTCTACTATAAGTCGCAAATATTGGTGACAAAAAAATGTAGTTTAATGTAGTAATTTTTTTTTTATAATAATTTTAAGATCAAATTTTGAAGAAAATCATAGATATTAGCTATGTACGACATGATAAATCATATTGTATAAACGAACTTCCCTCGGAACCGTTTTTCGGTTTATCGTTGCTTACAGTTATAAACGAAATAACTTTATGTATCCTACCTTTTATATTTTCCACTCACAACAGTGGCACACCCATTGCCAGAATTAACTCTTTTTATTTTTTTCCTTGCGACTATAGTCTACGGCCGGCAGAAATCGCGGTCGCCGACCCAAGACATGGGACCCTGGTCGCAAAGTACCTATATCAATGCAATACCACGTATGGAACATACACGGTCTCTAGATAACCTAACCATAATCGTGGTAACAAATTACATTTTTAAATTCGTATTATTTTGTGAATTTTTATATAAGATTTACTTGTGTGGGTACTCATATTTTTTTAAATAAAAAATAACGATGAGTTAAAGATTGACTTAACTTTAAACTTTTTAATAATTTCCTTTTAGTTTAAATTTTAGTACCTACATATAATATAATATAGGTAACATAGCCTAAAGGTAAATTCATAATTACTATACAGCACAGTATTTATTACACGAACTAGGATGTATTAAGGTGTATCTTCATTCTTGATTTATTAGTATAATATAATCAATTGAAATCCCGTTAGTTTATGAGGAAATCGACGATAAATAAGAATAGGTATTTTAAATTGGTAGGCAATTTGATTAAGGTAGATAATATTAACGTGTAAACGTCATTGAGAAACTAATATGGGTACCAGTGTCNTGACTTAATTAATTATATTAATATGCAAAACGAAACGAATAAAGTAGAAGTACCAAATACCTACCAGGCAATTTATATTGCGGTCAGCTAGTCAACATCGTGTTTGTGAATTTTAATGCAAGTTTTACTTAGATAAGTGCTCTTATTTTTTCAAATAAAAAGTAAAGAACGAATAAAGAACTTTAAACATTTTAATAATTAGCTTTTTATTTAATTTTTAGTACCTACTTATGATATAATAATACTATAATATAATATAGGTATAGGTAAATTATTAGACCCTGTGTTAGGCAATACGTATAATCGCGATAGCTAATAAGGAAATCTGCGATAAATTAAAACCATTATCGTTTTGTTAGTAATTTAATTCGAATAGGGCATTATCAATGTATAAGTGTCATTTTGGAACTATAATAGATACCGACTTTTTTTCGTTCTAACCCTTTTAAATGTGGGTAAATTACTGAATTTCGACACTGATAGGTATCTATTTTAAAATGTAATATCGCGATGTACGTGTACACTACACCATCAATGTTATTATTCGTTGAAATTTCCTCAGGCTTTGTTTATCCTAATTAAAATTCAATTCTTCCGTAACATACATCGATCGTATTAATGAATCATAATCGATTATGCAACGCAAATAGTGTACAAATAGGTACCTACCGGATAATTTTTTTATTGCCGTCGTCCCGTCGACGTCTCAAATAGAAAATATAAATCTTCCAAACACTTTTAAAAATAAAATTATTTTACACAATTGATTTCGACTAGTCTGATAATATGGCAATAGATTTATTTTATTATTACGCTACGAAATTAATAACTCATATTATATTTTTATTTATCCAATGATGAAAACGATGGGAAAAAAAAGGGGGGGCCAATAACTACAGCATCAATGCTAATAAATGAATAGTCTGTGCGTCTTATCTCGTATTTATAGCTTACTATGGTCGCATCGCTGTTGTTTCCGTGAAGTTGATTTCACACGAAGCGATTTAATCGCGGGCGCGGCGGTTGCGGTTAAAAATTGAGGCGTTGGTTTGGGTAATTCCGTGCGACTGTGTCTGTTGTACTTTACGTCTTTAAATAAATTATTTTCTATCGTTTCATAAAATGGAAATCTCATAGAGTGTAAAGCGTAGACGATGTTGAAGCGATTTGTGTAGTGTATAATTTATCACATAGAAGACGAAAATTGAAACAAAAAAGCTGTCCTAGGATAGAGCAGCCACTGTTATTGGTAATTTAATGTAAGCATCTGTAAGCAAAGATTAACCAATTCTAACGACAAAACGATTCTGAGAGGAATTCGGTTGATAGTGTTGCTTTGTCAACAATATAAATTACGTATTCAGTATTGTTATTAAATACAATTTAATTTTTGTGCTTACACACGTGAATGGTAAATTGTTGATTGAATGTAATTGCAGCGATTTCAACGTGCTGTCTAAACAGAAACGTTGGAAATACCTATAAAAAAAATTAGTGGTTTAATTTTAGGCGTTTATCCGCAGCGATTTTTAACCGCAACCGCACGCGATTATTCGCACCGTGTGAAACCAGCTTTATATTTTTTTTCATAGTATATTATAATATCAATCAAATTTTACTGGGTATAGATGACATTATAATATTGTGTATTTTGTTCTTATCGCGTACTCTTTTTTTTATAGATAAAAATTTAAAAATTCTACACATTGGAATTTTTTAAACAGTCGTATTATACGAATCATAATAATATTGTCATATTATATAAATTGTATACAGATAAAATATGAATATTATCTAATATTGACGCGACATTCACAAATAATTTATCAGTCAGTTCTCAAAGTAGAATGACGTTCGATTCTGGTAGGTACCTAATCTAATGTTTTACCCATTTAGTTCATCCAAACAAATTTATATTACACACTCAGTTGAACTAAAGTTACTTATACACACATATATATATATATATATATATACGCATATACGTTTACGCATACGTTTTCATACATTACATTGCAGTAGATAGGTACTCTACTACCAGGGTCCCATGACATTGGTCGATGCATCGGCGAATAGTATTTGTTGCCCGCAGGAAAAAAGAAAGAGCTGATACTACTGATGTGTGCGTCACTGTTGTAAATGGTAGGTAGAATATTATAAGTTATTTAATTTAATGTGGATATAAATATTGTTTCAGCTTACACAATTGTTTGAAAATTTAATACTTTATTATAAGTTGCAATTGGTAAAAAAAAATGTAAATTGTACTGTAGTAATTATTAAATTTTGAAGAAAATCGTAAATATAACCTTATGAGTTATATTATATAAACGAACTTCGCTTAAAAGTTAACAATGGTTTATCGTTGCTTACAATTATAATAAATGTAATAACTTTTTGTAGGTATCCAATCTTCCACAGTTCCCATTTACAACAGTGGCACCCGTCGACAGTATTAACTCTTTTTTTTGGGTTTCTTTTATAGGTACGTTTCACATTAAAGTCTATAGACGGCAGAGATAGCCACCATCGCTACCAACCCATGTTATGGGACCTTGGTTGCAGAGTACCTATGTCAATACAATAACACGTATCAAAGACATTTTAAAATATTTAGTACGATTTCTAAGGTTTTAAAATTTTAAAATAATATAATTTTCGTACATGATTCTACTATTTATAAGCTAAAACGAAAAAAAACCTATAGTCTACAAGTATAAAAAAAAAATAATGTTACAATAATTTTACCATGTATTAAAATTTAGAAAAAAAATCATACAATTTAAAATTTAAATATAATTTTTCTGTCAATATTTCAAGTTTCTAATAATATTTTGAACAAAATTGCAACGAACTTGAATGTAACGAAACCATTATTTCTGTAAAGTTTGCGTTTTTTCCACTGATTTGCTCAATTATTGAGAAAACTACATGGGAAATCAAAAAATGAGTCTCTTACACTCTAACAACATTCAATAGGTAACATAAAAGGTTTTATTATTTTACTAAAGTCTGTACTCTGTAATATAGTCAACTAAAGTTATATGAAAATGTTTTTTGAATCTTACGGTCTGAGAAGTTCCCAGAAAAAAATATGGCTAAGGTTTATGGTGCTCTGATAATTTTTTTATAGACTAACTTCCCCTTCAAAAAAATTAAATTTAAAATAATAATATATGGTAATATATAAATAAATTGTATAAGAGGGAAAATAAAAAGGTACTTGTCATTTTGTTACACATTTATTTAGAATTTTACATTATATTGTCAACGTCAGAATGGCCGAGCGGTCTAAGGCGCCAGACTCAAGGTAATCCTTGGCCTACTTTGTAGGTTGATTGAGCGTTCTGGTCCTCATCTGAGGGCGTGGGTTCGAATCCCACTTCTGACAAACTTTTTTAATTTATTTTTTCATTATATTTTTCAGTTTTTTGGTTATCATTGATTATACTTATTTTACGAAATGTTAATTTTGTTTTATTAATGGCGCATATCTACATTTTAAATTTTCAGTGGAACGAAGAAGTGTATTGTTTTACAGAGATGTTTATTATTTTTTTATGTAAACACTTTCTACCAGAAAGATTACTTCAATGTATATGATGAAGATCTTTTTCTGAAAGAAAATTTTATTTGGGTGGTAATTTAGAGAGGTCATTTTTCGATTTTCCCTGTAGTTTTCCGATAAAAAGGAAAAAGTGGGAATACTTACGAAATATAATAGTAAAATATTATGATTTTTTTTTTCTGTGGACAACTTTTCTACCAGCAAATTTGCTCTGATTTACAATGATAGCACCTTTTCTGAGAGGAAATCTGACTGGGAAGGTAACTAAGAGAGATCATTTTTTGATTTTCTCAGAAAATGTAAAACTCTCGAAAAAACGTAGAGAAAACAAGAAAATCGGTAAAATATTAAACAAATATTATTAAATAAAATAGATATTGCCTATTTATTTTATTTTACCATAATATGACATATATATTGTAAACATAGCATCTATCAACTGAATTGCGCTCAGAATCGTTTTTTCATTAGCAATGGTTTATCGTTAATATACAGATATACCTACATTAAATTCCCTTCTTTATTCTACCTTCCCAACTTTCCACCTACAACAGTGTATGCAATACAAGCAAATAATAATTTAGAAATCAATTGCTTATAAATCTACCTTTCCTGGGTCATAAACTCAGAAAAATATTAAAGCCATATGGTCAGAGTTAGCGTTTTAATCACGGCTTCTTGTACCTATAGCCGTGGTTTCAATAGGATCTTATCAAACCATATCGTCACTTTCATGTGAACCGCGGTCATTTGCAGCCGTGACCATGGTGTTTTGGACTTATGGTCTACGGTACAAGTGGTTATGTTTTATTTTGTTGATAACACTGTCACCAAAGTTGTTATTCTTTTGTTTACTTGTGTAGTTGTATATCGAGAACAAGTTAGTTTGTACCTTCTACTTCTAATAAAATAGGTATAATGGATTAAAGTCTACTGGTGTTCAGCCGTTTATTTTAATATTCGTGTTGTGTATATAATGAGCGTTAACTTAATGGTATATTAAAGTTACCTTACCTATACCCCAAGTATCGGTAACAATGAACGTTGATTATGAAAATATTCAAAGGTGAGTACAGAAAATAATACTTCAGTATCTACTTGGTATTATAAGCAGTTCATTTAAATTGTCATTACCAAAAGTCAAACATAGAGGCACACGTTCTCTGGTATAGCTAGTCAGAAATATGTTATATGTGCATTCGATTTGGAGTACAGTGAAGAAGGTGGTAGTTTTACTATAAATTGTTAGTTTTTCTCGGAAAATATTTTTTTTCGATTTGGTAGTCAAAAATTCCAATTATTAAATTGTATGGTTTAAAACGTGCGAATTTTTCGACTGATTGTATTTTTATTTGGACATTTGTTTAAAATTGGTAATACTTATTCCAGAAATTGGCTTTCATGTATTTTTGATAAATACTTTTTGTTTAACTAATTTATCTAACTTTTGGCTAACTAGTTTTTAGGTACTTTAAAAGATGTCCAGTAGTAGGTAGTTTATTTGAAAAAAATATCTAGATTATCAACTATTTTTCTATAAAATGTAAAAACTTACAATATATGTTGATTATAAATTTGTATTATTTAAGTATGTTGATTTTTGAGTTACCTTGTCTATGTGGCTAAAAACACGAATTATATTATCTTCCTCAGAATTGTTTTTTACTTGCAATGATTTATTATTGTAGTGTACAAACTTATTTACTCTATATTTCTTACTTTCTAAACTCCCCATCAACAACAACTACCTAAAAACTATTTACCCATGAGCTATCAACTTTTAGTGTTGTATTATTAGAGAGTACTAAAAGTTGAATTATATTAATATTTTTAGGGTTAAGTAATTCTGTGTAGTACTTCATTCAAATCTTCAGTTAGTCTTCAATTTTAGTGAAAATTTGTAATAGATTAATTTCATAGTTTATTTTGTTTTAATCAAAAATTATATTTGAGTGAAGTCGTTATGATAGGTACTGAAAAAACCTATTAGATACAAAAATAATAATATTTAAATACTTACGTTGTACTATAAACAAATCTAGTTTTTAATAATTTAAATATTTTTCATTTAAAAATAAATTGTTCACAATCTGTGCTTCTTGGCATTATTTGGAAGTTTATAACAATAATATTTCCAATTTTAAGACAATATAGGAATGGAAAAAATCAAAGAATTTAATTATAATAAAACCATGCACATTTTTTTCTTAACATTTAATATCAGTAAGCTCCAATACTGTTGAATTTCACAAAATAGGAATTGCAGGTTTTATGGTGATAAGAGTTGTGGTATTTAAAAGGAGACCACACCTTCATCTACTGTCTCAATTCAAATACCGGGCAAAATTCGAAAACAATGCTTATGCAGGCTAAGTAAAACTAGCTTAATTTTGATTTTAAAGTAAAAGTACCTAATATAAAATTTATAGAGAACCATATTTTGTTAGGATTGTCGTGGGTGTTTTTAGTACCATGAACTTTAAAAATGTTAGTTATTTAAAAACTAAATAAAAGAAGGGTTTTGTGACTTATATTGAGTTGTATATTTAGAATAATATAAAAACCTGATAAGGTTTCCTCCAAATATTCTTCTCTATACATTTTATAATAGGTACTATCCTCTAAAATCAAAATTAAGTTAGTTTTAGTCTGTTTTAGTTAGTCTGTGTAAGCATTGCTTTTACATGTTGTTCGGTACCTAGTTGGACCTAGTAGATGCAAGTGTGGCGTCTTCTTAATAAACCATTAACCATATGGCCAAACTGTACAGTACTTTAAATTGTTATAATGTCTAGTGACAATTTGATTTACAGTATTAAACAATGGAAGTAACTTAATAGTGTGATAAATAGATTGATTACTAATATAGGTCTATTAATTTTAAAAACATTGTATGTATACAAGGTTAAAATAATGTAAGCTTCTATTTGATTTGTTAGATAATAAGATGTTGTGTCGATATTGTAGACCTATGTCTACAAAAAAAAAAAAATTAAATTTATTTGGTGTTTTCTTTTTTGTCATTTAGATTATAAAAATAAAGAATTACTTTAGTTGGACAATTTTAATTATAAAGTAAAAAGTTGAATCATTCTATTTATTGTTTGATTTACTAGTTACCTATCACTTATTGTATTTAATAACCCTATAGTAAATTTCCTTTTTGCTAAATAAATATACATATTTATTTTATTGTTTTCAAAATTTATTTTAGGTTTTCTACGATAGAATGTGCTTTTTGTGGATTCTTGTTTCGCAATAAAACAAGTCTGAAAAATCACATAGATTCTATGCACAATGGAATTAAAAGTACACCAGGACAGCTGAAAAAATCCAGGAAATGTACCGATTTACGATGTATGGAAAAAGGATGTACTTGCAAATTTTATAATAAACAGCTCTTTATTAGCCATTTGAAGTTTGATCATCAAATTGATTTCGATATACGCCATTTAAATTTTACTTCAGTAGACGGTATTACATATTTTACACATATAGAATTTGTTTTTATAGATTTCATTATATAACTGTTTAATTAAAATGTATTGTGTATTTTTAGAATATTCAAACTGGAAAGAAAACTTTGAATTGGAGAAAAATTGCCGTTATGTTCGTGTTACTGGTTGTAAAACCCTTCATGATGGTAAAAAACTGTCATATTATTACTGTAATCGTTCTACATATTTTACTAGTAAATCAAAAGGTGTGAGGAAGCGAAAGAATCCTATTAGGGTAAAAGGCCTTTGTACAGCATCTATGAAAGAAATTGAAAACAATGATGGTTCTATTGAAATACTACTGTGTGCTACACACTATGGTCACGATACATCATCTGAATATATGAAAATGACCAAACGAGAAAGAGATGAAATCACTGAACTCATCCAACAAGGTGATCATCCAGATCTAGTAATAAATGCAGCTCGTGCTAAGGCATCTGATTCATTGGGACGCATGCACATGTTAAATAGAAAAGATATTAAAAATATTGAGCGTAAACTGGGAATAAGATATCCAGGATTTATCAAACCAAGGAGAATTAATGATCTTAGCACAGATAGATGGATTTCAAAATTACAACTTACTTCGGATAATCCTATAGTGTTTTATAAACCTCAAAATGTAGTACACGAAAGCTTTGAATTTAATGATCTTATATTAATATTTATGACTAGCAATCAACAATATTGGATTAATAAATTTGGAAGTGATGGGATATTTATGGTGACTGAAATGAAAATGATCCGTGCTGGATTTTATTTAACTGTATTGTATGTATGTGATGAATTTAATGTGATGTTGCCTGTATGTTTTATGATGTGTAATGATAGTAAAGTTTATCAAACATTTTTTTTAAATGCTATCTACAACAAAATTGGTCCTATTTATGCTAAAGCTTTGATCACCGATGATAATTATGATTTGTACGAATGTTGGACTTCAACTATGACACCTGTCAAGCATATAATTAACCAAAGATATATTGATGATCAAATAATAGACAAACTTCAGAATGAAATTGAAGATCAAGATTTACAGCATGAAATATATGATCAAATATGTTCATTTTTCAGTAATTCTGATATAAGTACCAAAGAAGAAATCATAAATTACTCTAAAAATTATCTCAGAGTGAATGATAAAACGAAAAAATTTGGAATGTTTTTTGATCAAATGTTTGCTAGTAGAGCAAATATGTGGGCATTTTGTTATTTAAAAGAATCTCTGGATTTAGATAAAATGATCGACATTGATACAATTTATAATCAAATGTTAATACTATGCGAAAACAAAAAAAATTTCACACCAAATTTATCGAAAAATATTAACATTTTTTTCTCAGCGCTTTTAGAAATTCAAAAACTTAAACAAAAAAAAATTGAAGAAATCAACATTACAATTTCAAATAATCATAGAAATGCAACATGTTATAACTCTACTCTTATTTTTCCCATTGGCAAAGATATGTGGCGAATTAAATTAGATGACGGTAATGATAATGAGTTTGTAACGGTTACTCGAAAATTTTGCAAAATTATTGATTGTACAGTTAAGTGCGAAGCATGTTATGATATTTGTGCCCATATCTATGAATGTTCATGTAATAGAGGAGAAGTGAATATATGTGAACACGTTCACATGCTTGGTATTTTCAACAAACGTGGTAATCAAAGCATTGACAATGAAGTGAAAAAAGAGGAGATGGAAATGCTAGATTTAAGAACGAATATTGTAACAAAATTAAAACGAATTCTTAGCAGTATACATTGTGTAAATGATGAAGATACACTCAGAAGAATCAGTGTTTCTTTAAGTAGAGCAGATAATAGTGTTTCCAAAGCAAGGACTATGACTATCAACAGTTTGTGTGATGAAGATGATTACTATGATTGATGATTCATTCAGTATTATTATTGTTTAATATTTATTTATTATAATAATAATATGTTTTAACTATACGGTCTCATAAGGTTTTTATAATATAAAATATATATTTCTCATTTTTATAGTATTACATTTAATTTATAAGTCAATATTAAATAGCCATAATAACTTTTTGTTATTGTATCTCATAATGACATCAAGTAAAATTAATTTTAAATTAGCAAGTATACAATTTTTATATAATAATTTATACCTATTGTATAAATTATGTATTTTGTATTTATATTATTTTTTTGTGTCTCATCTCATTAATTTTATTGTATAAAATAGTCGGAATAGTATATAAATCAGAGTTCCTCCCATATAGGTATTTGAATGTAAATATAAACTATCTAAGTTAAATTTTCTAATTTTTTATTTTATTTATAATTTAATTTTTAAAAAATAAGTTAAATTTTAAATATTTTTTAGACAATAAATAGAAAGTGAAAGGTTTAAATTTTATCCAAGTAAAGAAAATTGGTTAATGAACAAAATAATTAATGTATTTATTCTGAAATATTTTAGTTTTAGTACCTAGTGAAAAGTCATTAGATGTGTTAATAATATTTATTCTTTATACCTATAAACATTTATTTATTGTTTGAATTGTTGTTAGATAAAGTTAAAGTGAATCTGAAAGTAAATACCATATACTATTTTAAGTTAGAAATAGTATTTTTTAAAATGTTTTTTATTAGTTAATAAAGGGTTTCCTAAAAGAAAAACTGGAATACAAATATTTGTATTCATTTAAAATATTAATAATGCATCTAACTCCTACCAGCATATAAAGTTTTAAAATTTAATTAAAAGTTATTCAAATTATTATAATTATACATCAAAATATTTAATTAGTTTTTAATTTTAATTTTTATTAATATACCTTTAGATGTTTTATTTAAAGATGATTTTTATTTATTTAATGTTTTACCAATTTTCCCAGTTTTCCTATGTTTTTCCCGGTTTTCCCATGTTTTTTCTCGGGTTTTCACATTTGCTAGGAAAACTTGAGAAAATTGAAAAATGAACTCCCTAAAGTACCTTTTTTAGTAAAATTTCCTTTGGAAAAATTGCTGCTGTCATTATAAAACTAAACCAAATTGCTTGTAGAAAAGTTGTTCACAGAAAAAAGAAAGCTGTCATATATTTTAACTATTATCTACATTTCTTATATTTTCTCATTTTTACTCCATTGTTTTTTTTTGATTTAACACATTTGATGAGAAAATCGAAAAATTTACACTTATAAATGGATTTTTAAATCCCAAAAATCAGCTTGCAAAACACTATAAATCCTAAAAGCAACTCAAAATGAACTTAACATTTGAAAAACATGCACCAATTTATACATTTAAAGTTTAAAAAGAAACACAAAGCTGCACCATTTTGAAAATATAATAAACTAATATGTCATTATATTGAATTGATAAATTATCAGTTTTAATGTTAACAATCACTTATTCGTTTCATATTAAAATTACATGCAAAATTAAAATATAAATGAAAATAATTAGGCAAAAATTGCATTATTCTATTGTTTTAATTAATTTAGAATTATTTAATTCAAATCAAATTAATATTATCTATGAAGTAATCATTTTACATATGCGCCAAACCTAAGCATTGAAAAGCTGCATTTAGTAGAAACAACACTAATAGGTAGAGAAATGATAATATTTAATAATTGAAACACATGTAATACATAAAAGTGGCAAAGAATTATTGCAGTCTATACCGATGAAAAGTATATAACTTTAAATGATGTGAAAAAGGTTTTCCCTAATTTATATAAATTATTTCAAGTTGCTTTAACAATATCTATAAGTTCCTTTCTTGTGAAAGGAGTTTTTCAGTCATGCTTAGAAAAAACTTGGCTTCGAACTTCTATATTGCAGGCCAGGTTCAACATTTTGTACATTGAAAAAGAATTATCTAAATGTATTGATACCGATACGATTATTAATATGTTTGCACAAAGGAACAGGTTTATACAATTAAAATTTAAAAAAAAATGAGTAGCTATTCAATATTTTATTTTTTTTATGCTCCTTTTACTTATATATACTTGGTGTCTAAGCTAGAACAAAGTAGGAGTACTGTGTAGTCACTAGTTGGTAGTTTGATGTGTTTCAAAATGTTTGCTTACGCTAATGGATAAGACAAAAAAGTTAAGTTCCCCCCCCCCCTTGGATGTGACCAAATATCCACCTATGACATGTAGGTACATAATATCATTGCAATTTTCAGTTGAAATTAATGCATCTTGATAAACTTCTAGACCTTGATAAGAAACCAAATATTAATAAAAGTTTGAAAATAAAAAATCGTTGCTAATTATTAAATACAAAAATCGCTATGTACGGTACCTATACCGACTGATTATTTTGAGTAAAAAATATTTTTCTTTCGGCAATCAGTCCGTTCAGTGTAGTGGAGTGATAAAAATCCTTATTTGTACCGTTTCAAGTAAATTTGTCGGTTTACTGATTATTTTTTCAAAATAAATTTATGAGGAATGGAAAGTTATTAGAGCTTTCGAGAAACAAAGTAGAGGTAGGTACATTTTTTTTTATACAGAATTTACAATGACGTTTAATATTTCTGGAGGACCTTTTTGAGAAGTGTATTTCAGCGACCAAAACACTCGAAACGTTAACCTAATGGGATTTGTGAGAAATTCCCAGGTGAGGTTATACGTTTATAACTTATCTGTAGTTATCTATTATCTATATATAGGTATAATCAAACCTATAACATTAGTCATTTTTAGATTATAGGTATTTAGGTACCTAATTAATATCCATAGGTTTATATAACGGACAAAATAGACTGTAATCGTATAATATTTCCGCGGAAATTCTTGTAACGTCCAAAAACGACCGTTTCCCGTTATCAAAGGACAAGCATACTTGCAATCGATATGGTCGACCGGTTCATTGGTTACGTCCGCGTCGACGGATATGTTATGTAATCATGAGCAACAATTCCCCTCCCCCCCGCGCAAAGGTTTATGCGATCGCAATCTGTTGCAATTCGCAATATTATATTCTTGACCACGGGTTAACGGCCAATCAAATCACGTTTCGCCAAAAACGTCGGCCCGGGGCGACGTGTGCCACGAACGTCTCCGCGCTCCGCTACCCAGTTTCTTTTTGTTTTGTTCGTTTCCTTTGTTCTTCGCGACCACACCTCGTCTCGAGACTTTGTCACCGGACGGTCTTCCGATACAGTTCTCTTGCTAAAAACACTCCCGTACTGTTCGGATTCGCATATTTCGCCATCAAGAAAAGGTCGTATACCTTGGCACGTTTCCTGATAGTGCCTCAAACGAACCGATGAAGTGAGTGCCGATCTGGTCCGCTGGGCGGACATCTTCGTGCGGAACGAACGGTAATGTGCATGTGATTTAATAATTAACCGATACTTCGTTAGTTAGTTAGTTTTTAAGGTAGTTCAGTTAAGGTTCCCCGTATGAATATTTTTATCTAAAATGTTTTTTATTTTTATGTTAAATTCCTCCGATATGCTTATGGGGATCAACCAGCTAGATTTGTGTGTCCGTCTCATTATACTAATTCCCGCGTTTCACATCCTATGTGCGATAGGCCAAACCCTCCGAATTTTGATGTTTTTGTTTTGTTTTTTTTATTTTCTATTCCCTCCCTAAGTGCTAGGGTTTCGCAACCACGTGTGTGAGCATCTGAAAAAAGGAATATATATATTGATCGATTTTCCCCACTTCGCGATCCATATTCGGACGCGCCCCGCCGGTTCACCCTTAGGGCCACCGAAACTACGGACCAGTCAACATGGAATAAAAAGCGTTTCCGGTATCCTTCCCGGTGGCAATTTGTGTGACCTGGCAACCCTGACATTCCTTCCTCAATATCTGTGGTGCCCACGAAAGTTCCACGTGGGGGTCCGTCTCGGTCAATACCCATGTCGGTCAACACACACACGTGGACGTGGATTCGTCCTTACCGATAAATATTAATAATAAGTCCCGGCCTGCACGCTCCCCGTTATGTCACTATCTGCGTCCGGACAACACTTTTACGACTGGTAGACGCCCCAGTTAGTATATATGTATTCAAAATATAAGTTGTTTGGAGATATTTGTCTATAATCCTATATATATATATATATATATATATCAGTGTTATAAATCGTACCTATCATCCATTCTTTCTCAAGTAACAGTCTTTATGCCCCTGTTGCATTAACTTAATTTTACTTATGGTTGATAAAATGAATAAAATAATTCTATATTTTCCCCAACAGAAAACACGTGTTTATTTATTTGGATTCTCCCTTTTCCCTTCCCTCTTTACAAAAACCCTAGGACTCCGGTCTTCGGACCTCGGTCCTAGGTTGGCGACCTTGTTCTTAGGCGGGTAGTCAGCTGGGCGGTCGGGTCGGTCCTCACAAACAAGGCCGACCGAACCGGGACGTCTTATTCTACGTAGAAAAAAAAAAAAAAAAAAAAAAAAAAAAAAAAAAATGAAAATAGACGTCAACCCGAATAACATGTTATAAACTCGCTTTGTGTTCGTAATAATATTATAATCGTATGACACGATGACACGATAGGCGTATCCCATCAGTCTCCTTTTGACGACTTCCGATCAGGCCGGCTGTGTTTACTATATAATAATATAATATAAGCAGGTGGATAGGTTAGGTAGGTGTATGCATATTGTATATTGTACGTGAATAGAGTAGAGTGTGTGGGCGGATATCGATTCGAAAACACACGTTTGTGCGGAGACGGCGGAAAATCTAAGTGCGTCGATTATAGTTCGGTAGTTTGTCACCATTGCTATTATAAAAAATATATAATCTAGTACACCATGACAATTTGACAATCGACATTTCGGTTGTTATTGTTTCTGCTCCGGCTCCACGCACGCTCACCGAAAACACTTCACGCGTGTTTTCGTTTAAAATTATTATTAATCGAAAATTATTAGGCATTGAAAGTGACGTCAACATTATCCGGCTGTAGGAAACATAATACATAGGCACCGTGTATAATACAATGTTTGTTTTCGCCCGATAACTGTTGGCGGGTAATTAACTAACCGTCAGTCAGTCGTCCAGCCGGTGGCCCGTTCGAGTGTTTGTCTTGGGAAGAGGCGATTTAATTCACACACAGACATAATATGTATGTACGTATATCGTATATTATATGATACATATTAAAAAAAAAAAAAAAATGAAAAATATCAGGTTAATATAATTTAACAAGGGAATTACGTACGTAGGTACGATTATTAGTATTTACGTTTTAACATTAAAAATGAAACGGATCATGAATAGGCCACTGTTTTTGATTAAAAGTTAGAAAGGGAGACTAGCTAGGGTAATTTAGTTTATTAATTGTATGCGATAAAAAATCTTTGCCAATGATTTTGAATGGAGTTCGGTGAAACATTTATTGAATATTTAAATTTAAATTTGTGCCTATTAATTTGTAACTAAAAAATAAAATACAATTGTTTTATACGAATTTCATCATGAGTTTAAATTCACTAAGCTTATAAAAAATAACAAGTTTATAATTATTATTTATTTTTATCACAAACTACATATTATGAATAATCTTGTATCAAATATTCAATCATTATTTTAGAAGCCAAGAAGTTGTATCCAACGTATAGTAAAAATAGTAAGAATAAGTAGGTACGAAAATCATGCAACTTTAAATCACTTAACCAGCGTCAGAATATTTTTGGAACTGCACCATGTCTAAAAAGTACTAATAAAAGCTTTTAGAGGAAATTTCGAGTCACTAGGAATATGTTACACAATACAATTATAACGAAAAAACAAATTTTTACAAAAATTAGTTATTCCGAAAATATTCACGTTTTCCAATTTTTCTATCGGCTTTTCTCCATTATTAAAAAAAGTAATAATCTAGATAATATTGTCTACTGAAAACCACCTTTGATGTTGATAATTAGTGTAGCATAATTTCTCGTTGAAAAGTTGTTAAAAATTAAATTATCATTAATCATTTAATTTATTTATATTTTTAATTATTAAATTATCTATATAATGTGTACTTCTGGTCAGAATAAATTTTTAGATATTGAAAATTTGAAGGGTTAACATTTTTTAATTCTTCGCAGATAAACACGGTAGGTCATATGACATCATTGACGGTAATATAGCTGATAGCCTTATTGTCGAAAATTATATTTTGTGTAAAATCATTTTTTGGTGATGGATATTGAACATATGGATATTTATATTGGAACACAATTGGATATTCGCAACTAAAATATTTAAACGTAATGTTTTCATACAAAGTACTAGTAGATAGTAAACACTATATATACAGGTATCTGTTTCACGTAAATGTTACCAAACCGTATAATATTCCACAACGATAGTCAGTCTTGTTGGATCGTGATTTTATGTGCACGGATATCTGAATATTTTTTATGATTCGACTATATACAAAAAATAAAAAAAATAAAACATAAATCATCGTGTTCGTAATACGATTTTCACGAACAAAACTGTATATCGTTTGTCGTTGAATAAATCACATTTTTGTGCTAAAAAAAAAAAAAAAAATCCATAGAAGCCAATATTTTACGAAAAATATACGTACCTTACTCGTATATAATTATGATTTACGATTTTTCAAAATAGGTACCTACCTATTTATTTTGTAAACAGTTGATAGAAATTTAAAACACTGCGAACTGAATATTTTAATATTAATAAACTTGCGAGGCGGACCGAGAAGAAAGTTGGACGTTATTATTATCGTAATACCGCGAGGCGGCTGAAAAAATTATAGTCGGCAGCGGCGTATACGGCGGCACGTAAATTAATTATAAACTTTGCAAAAAAATAGTTACTCTAATATGTCTTTCATTTGGATTAGGTATATTGTGTAAACAGGTATATGACGACGGGCGGTTCGTTTACCGCGTTTTTTTTTCCCATTTCTCTCATGTGAAAAACTAAAATCAAAATATAGTTAGAACTGATACAACTGACGGGTGCGCCATTGTTCAATGGTGACTGCGTCGTTGGTGAAAAATTGGAAAGGTAGAATACATAGTTATTTAATTTATATCTGTAAGCAATAATAAGCCTTTGTTAGCGAAATATGATTCTGAGTGAAGTTTGGTTAAACATGTTTTGTAATTCCGTAAATTGTACGCTCGAAAAAAACAAACAACTAAATTGCGCTCAACTCTTTTTTTTACCATGATGTACAGTGTTCGTAATACGTCGTGTTTAGTTTTCAAATATTTCTGCTCGTTCAAAACAATTATATTCACATAAAACCAAATAAAAAGTAAAAAAATATAATAAATGTTAAATGCCTATAAATATCTCAAACCTGAAGAATTTACCACGTATAGAAAAGTCTATTTTATGAAAATTTTAGGTCTCTACGAATATTTTTAATCAAAAATAAAGAAAGAGACCGTTATACCATTAAAAAAAACTCAAAAAACTCAAAAAAAGCGATCTTCTCATTCACCTATTAGATAAAATGCAACAAATAATCTCTTCTTTTTTTGATTAGAACAAGATTTATTAAACAGAACAAAAAGTACATATTATACAACTACATATAAGTATTTACATATTGAGTAAAACCAATACATTCCTTGCTAAGCTCAAAATCTAAAAATAAATAAGTATTGTAAAAAGCATTTTGTTTTTTTCAAACGTCATACTTAAAAACGTAATATGACATAAATGTCCATAGTACCTATAGTACCTATACACTGCTAGATTTCATGTCAAGCTAAACAAATCAGTAAAATAGTCCCGAACCTTGATTAAATTATTAATTAGACACTGCAGTTTAGGAGTTAAATTATTATTTTGAAGTTTAATTCAATTATGCCTGATATAATTAAGTATTCTTGAAGTTCCAAGATTTACCGTCTGAGAAAAGAGGTGATACATTATTATCAAGCAGTTCAGAAAATGTACTTCTAAATAAAAATTATATCAAGTTAACTATAAAAACAAGGCTTTATAGTCGAATTAATAGCTTTGTTTTTCATAAAAAGTTTACACTTTTTTAAAATTTAGGAAACTAGGAGTACAATGACACAAAGTTACATTGTATTAATAATTATTACAAAGAATAAATTATAAATTTATGGGACGTGGGTACATCTACATCTTATTTACGACATAGCAAAATAATGTTACATTATTAGAACATCTCTTCTATATTTGTTTTAATTTAGAAAATCAGAGTTATGACAAATTGTAATGTATACCTAGTAAATTACTAAATGTATTATTTCTATGGACAGCAATATTATAATTTACGGTTTTCAAATATTAAATTTGAGTCGTTAATAAAATAAACAAGTGGATTGTGAATTTGATATCAGGAAGAATAAGATAATGAGGACAGGTGCAGTCGCTGTTGTAGGTGGGAATTTGAGAAGGTGGGATATAAACGGGAATTTAATGTATATCTGTAAGCAACGATAAACTATTGCTTACGAAAAAACGATTCTGAGCGGAGTTCAGTTGATAGTGATGCTTTGTCAACAATATATATGTCATATTATGGTAAAATAATTAAATAGGCATTATATATTTTATTTAATAATATTTGTTTAATATTTTACCAATTTTCTCGTTTTTCCTATGTTTTTCTTGGTTTTTTATATTTGCTAGGAAAACTCTTGGGAAAATCAAAAAATGATCTCTCTAAAGTACATCCCTAGTGTAATTTTTTTTTAGAAATATTACTAAAATTATCATTAAAAGTTGGAGCAAAATTGCTGACAGAAAAGTCAGTTTTCTGTTATGCACAGAAAACAAGAAGGCCGTATACATATATATATATATACATATATTTTAACTAATATCTACATTACTTATATTTTCCCTTTTTTTTCGGTTTTTCAAATTTGGTGAGAAAACTCTTGAGAAAATCGAT